AGGAATGCGCTTCCCATTTCAGGCCTTACTATGTTTGCCTACCTACTTCCTACCTCTACTTGAACCTCAACTGTCCCTACTTTCAAGGAAGCCTTCTCTGACATCTGAAAACTAGACGGAAGCCCAGTTTTCCACTCCCTCAGCACCCAGCTGTGCTCCACACAGCTGTGCTCCTCCTAGCAGTAACACTCCACTTCCATGAGATCAGCTACCCCGAGGCGTCTCCCGTGCTGGATGTGAGCCTCGTGGAGGAAGGCCTACCTCCACACTGCATGCGGACTGACTCCATCCAAGCTTGGCACAGAACAGGGGCTCAGCAAATGCAGAGGGAAAGCCCGATGGGCGTCTGACACCACCTCCCAGACCTGAGAGCTTACCAAGGAGAATCTTCTGCTCTTTGCCCTCTGACTGTTCGCTCAGCGGTTCCTCCTCTTCCTCCACGTCTCCCCCATCGCCACCTGCCACAACTGTCTCCATGGACAGCACCGTGTCGGACAGTGTGAGCTCAGATGCCTCAGTGACTTCGTCCTGCTCCCCTGCCTCCTCCTCCAACACCCAGCCTTCCTCCTCCTCCTCCTCCTCCTCCTCCTCCTCGGAGCCCTCGCTCTGCTTCAAGTCCTGGCTGCTGTCGCCTGACTTGAGGCTGCTCTTGTCCACAGGGGCACCGCCCTCATCAGGAGCCCGCTCCTCGCCCAGGGAGGTCTCGCTGGTGCTGCTCTTGTCGCTCAGCCGGCCCAAGCTCACGGCCTCAGCCTCCTGGGGATGTGGCGACTCAGCCACGTAGAGCCTGGCTTGGAAGTCCTCTGTGTCTGGGAGGTCGGCCTGGTCGTGGAAGCTGACGCCAGATGTGTAGTCGGGAAGCCCCAGGCCCAAGGAGGCAGCTGGTTCCTCATCCATCTGAATTTCCTCCCCGAAGGCACAGGAGCTGGGACCAGGCCCTGGGAGCCCACTCTCCTCATCCTCAGCAGCCCCCACCAGGCCTTTGCGTTCGTCCTGGGAGGACTCCACACCAGCCAGCACTTGTAGCACGTGGGGCAGCAGGTGGACGAGAAAGGCCTGCAGGCCCAGCCGCACCATCAACTGCGCCACAAAGCAGTCTGTGTACAAGTAGAAGCGGCCGTGCAGCCGGTGGGGGCTCTCGTAGGCACCAATGAGAGGCTTCAGGAGGTATTTATTGGCATTTTTGGGGCCCAGTGCCTTGGCGACAGGTTCAAACAGGTACCAGGCTGTGTACACGGCGGTGTGCTCCTCAGCCATGAGTGACAGCACAAAAGGCAGCAGGATTTCCAGGCCCTCAGGAGTGATGTCACTCAACACGGCACCCAATTGCTGCCACAATGCAAACACCAGTTCCCGCCCCTGGGCCTCGTCCTCCACGCGCCTTGCCTGGTACAGCAGGATGAACTTGTGCAATGCCGGGAAGTACGGAGGGAAGGGAACCACGGAGCTGAAGGGGCTGAGCAGCTGGGCAGGGCAGGGTGGGGGCAATCCTTGGGAGACAGGCCTGTACTCAAACAGTGGGTGTAGCTTGCCCCTCTCCACTCCCACAGGGCCTGCTGATCCACTCAACTGCAGGAGCGTGTCTAGCATGGGCTGCAAAGACACAGGGACCTCCTTGGGGTGGCGCATGCAGAGCTCCCGAACAGCCTCAAAGCGGACCCACAAAGGTGCATCAGGCTGCAAAGTCCGGACCCTGGTGGCAAACACCATCTCAGCCAACAGCACACCCAGCGCCTGCATGTCCCGATGGAAGAGGTCCTGCAGCTGCACAGGTGGCTGGACCCGGGGCTGCGTGGGTGCCTCTAACTGGCCCCCTAGGCCTTTGGCCAGGAAGTTGCCCATTTTCTCCAGCTCCTCCAGAGCCTGCAGGGGATTGAAGCCCTCGGGAAGAAGGATCTTCCCCTCCTCTCCCTCCCCAGGGTCTGTCCCAGCAGCTTTGTTCCTACGGCCTGGTCGAGAGGTTGAGGCCACTGAGAAAGACAGGAGGCCAGGGGGAGCTTGACCGGAGGAGCCCAGCTGGTCACCTGCCTTCCCAGCAAGGGAGATGGAATCCAGAGCTTCTGTGGCTTGCTCCAAGTCATCCTCTCCTGCCACAGGCCTGTCCCTGGTCCAGCTCGCCTCACAGGGAATAGCCTCTAAAACCAGCCTACCCACACCATTTGTAAGCTGTCCAGGGATGTCCTCCCGGCCTGTGGTCTCCTGGATGGTCTGGACCAACAGTCTGGGAATGAGGGGAGGCTCAGGGGCCAGGGCAGAAGTCCCAGCCAAGCGCTGAGGGTGTGGCTGATCGAAGAGCTGCACCACACCATAGCTGGTCAGGTGGGTGTGGGCATCTACCAGGTGCAGGCACACATTCTTCTCCTTCACCGCCTCCTTGCCCTGGAGTTTATAGCCAAAGGTCAAGTCAATCCAGTGATGCAGATCTTGGGACACTTCTTGGCTCTCCAGCAGGGCTCGGTGGGCAGCCACAAATTCCTGGCTGGAGCTGCACCAGGCTGGCACGTCCAGATCAGGCATGTCGGGGTGGATGGAGCAGAAGATAGAGGGGTCAGTGTAGAACTCAGGGATGCACTCGTCGGGGGTCCAGTTCTGCATCCGCTCCATGCTGGCAGGATACTCATGGGGTTCCCACTGCGCACGGACATGTCCACAAAGCACCGATCGGGGAGTGCGCCGAGCCTTGTACACGTAGTATGTGATGTCAGAGAGCACATCTGAGATGTGGTGAGGAACGTGAGGGGGCTCCCCGCCGCCTGCACCCCCTGCAACAAAAGCCTGCCGCGTCATCTCATATGTGAAGTCCAGCTGCTTATCCCCCTTATTGAGGCGGAACTTGGACTTGCGCAGGTCTCGGAAGCGCCCGTGGGGAGTGGTGAAGTCCACCACCCAGGGCAACACTGGGTGGTAGTTGGGATCTCCCTGCCGCCTACCTGCCAACCGATTCAGCTGCATGAGGTAGTGGAAGTTGCTGATGCGGCCATGGACCCATTCTACCACGAGGCTCTGAAGTTCCTCCTGGCAGGTGGGACACCCAGGTCCCTCTTTCCTCGCCTCTCCAGGCCCCGTGCCTGCCCCATCCCTTGCCTCCTCGTTCTCATCATCCATGGGCCTCTCATAAGCGGTCAAGTCTAGGCGAAGCTCGCTGCAGAGCTTCTCATCCACAGCGATGTGGTGCAAAGACAGGGCTCCACAGGCCAGCCCCTGGCGGTGACAAGCGTCCATGGCCCGCAGTACACGGAAAAGAATGAAGAGCACCTTGGCTTGGCTGTTGGTCAGCTTGGCAGGGCTGAAGGTAACCACATCATGCAGGGAGAACTGCACATAAGGATGTACCACGTACAGCATCTCTGGTGACTCCAGCAGGGCCTCCGCTCGCAAAAGGCTGGGGCAGATGGAACTGCCCCGCAGTGGGCAAGGGCCATCTCTGGCAGAAGGTGGGCAATGGGTAGCTTCACCCACTGGCAGGAAGGCACGGCCATAGACCCTCTGCAGAGCCTGCCGAACTGAGTCCAGAGCTAGGGTAGCTGAGGGTGCAGGGCTATGACTATAGGGCTGCCCGTAAGTGTGGTATGCACGGAGCCACAGGTTGCGATAATTCCGGGCAGCCACCTCCTGCATGAAGCGAGTGAGGGTCTCGGGGCTGCAAGACCCCTCCTCAAAGGCCAGGCCCCCACCCAGCGGATAGGACAGTCTCCGCTTCCGCAGCCCGTGCACCTCCACACGTGTCCAACCCGGGGGCAGCCTCTGCACCGAACGTTGCAGGAGAGTCCTGACTTCCGCTTCTCCCAGTCCCTCTGTCCGGGGGCAGGGTCCCAGGGGCTGCCGGCGCTCACGGAGGTTAGCCAGCCAGCGCGCGGGCACTAGGGCCACCACGTGGGTGCCCCCCGAAGCCGGAGCCAGCTGCCGGGGATCGATGTTCAAGTCCCTCTCCACGCTCCGGAGCAGCTCCTCCATGTCAGGGCTTGGGGGTGGAGACCAGCCCTCGGCCCGGGTGGTAAAAGCAACTTGCTGGCCCCCGCTCCCCTGGGCCATCTCCTCCTGACCGCCTGGGGGCAGCGCTGGGCCGGGCCCGGCCTCAGCCCTGATCCGGAAGGCTTCCGGGGTGCCAGGCCGGGCGGGTTAGGATGGGCAAGGGACAGGAACTGGGGTAAAAGGGTTTGGGGGTGAGCCGGCGGCAGAAGAGGGGAGGGCAGAGGGGACTCTTACCCCTCAGCAGGTTCTGTGCTCCCGGCGCGGCCAGGCAGGGGCTGCAGGGCGCCAGCGCCGGGTTTCACCGCGACAAGTCAGCTGACGCGAGTCACGTGATCGCCCCAGCACGGAAACAACCGCACGTGGCTCGAAAGGGCCGGGCGGGACCCGCCTCCCGCCGGCGATGCTGTTCCCTAGTCCTTAGCGCTGGGCTTCCCACTCCTCTCTTCCAGGCTGGTCGGGCCTTCGCTTCCGGCCGGGGCTGGATGAAGCGCCCGCCCCCACCGCAGGTGCAGGGGAGAGGGACGCTGAGCGGCCCAGCGGACTTCCCCTGCCCTGTGTTCTCCTGCCGTGCCAGAACACAGATCTAAGAGGGACCCAGGGGCCTTGACATGCGACATTCCCAACGAAGGAGCTTTCTAGTTCTCCAGAGGATTCCATTTGGCCCTCACAAGGCTCTAAGATTGGGAGGACAGTCATTGTTTGTGTCTTAGGGGTGATACAAACCAGAGCCGCCCAAGAGGCTTGCCCTAGTGACAGAACAGAGACACGGAAGCCCAGACTTCTTTCTACTCTGGAGCCCTCAGCATCTCATGGCTTTAAAACAAAAACAACAAAACTATGGGAGATCAGAGGGAGACATGGCCCAGGCCCAGAGGCCTGGCATCTTGGGGCGGTAATGTCCCCAGAGACTTCCTGTTGAAGAGCTGCTTCTGGAGTTACAGAGCCAGCCAGCTGTGGTCAGAGCCTTGCAGATGCCACCACTGTGGCTAGGGGGAGGGTGCAGCTCAGGATAGGGAAAGGAAACCAGAGAGCAGGCACCAAAACCACTTGACTCCTTCAGGGGCGCTTAGTTCTGACTCATTTGTAGGACAGACAGGCCGTTGTCTGAAGTCGAACCACTGACTGGTTTTTCTGAGTCTCAGCCTCAGACACCTTGCCTCCTTAGGAGTTTGGTGTAGAAGTGTGCAAGTCTCACAAAGGCATGGAGAAAGGCCAGAGAGAAAACAGGAATGGCTTAGCCATGATCTGCTAGCATCATCTCCTCTAGTCTTCCTCTTTCTTCAAAGGCAGATGAACCCCTTGATGTGCTTGGTCACATGACTTTTGCAGTACTAACTTAAGGTCACCATTTAGGAAGCAGTTCTCAGGAGCGAGTCACACGCTAAGCACTTCGCATACCTTTTTTGTTGTTGTTTGTTTGTTGTTTTTTGGGGGGAAAGATTTTCCCTATAGGGCGTGTGCGCTCGTCAGACAGACAGAGAGAGACATAGAGACAGAAAGCGAGAAATCACCCCCCGGGGGGATGGTCACGCTACAATCCCTTCTCCTCCATTCTCCTCTCGGGATCTTGGGCACGCACGCACATGCACCTGGCGTGAGTTTTAAGCCACCGGGTCTGGGACGCGAACCGCGGTCGACTACGTGGGAGTCCAGCGACATAGCCATTACGCTAACTGCTGGTTCCCTGCATACCTTGTTTGGTTGAATTCTCGCTACATAGCCCTACCCCCCCTTTTTAAGTTTGTGTGTTGGGCCAGTTAGTGGCATGGTGGTTAAGGTGGCTGGATTCCACATCACTGACTTCATGGTTCAAGTCCTGAATCTGGCAGCTTAGAAAAACATCAGGCACTTGTATGTGCATGCCAAAAAATCCCAGGAACTAACTGAGAAGGGATTGTGGCATGGCCATCCTCCCTGGGAGGTGATTTTTCACTTTCTCTGTCTCTCTCCTGTGAGTGCACACATGCTATAGCAAAAACATAGAAGAAAAAAAGTCTTTGTATTTCCTCTAAGAGAGAGAGAGAGAACCTTCAACAGGGTCTTGACACAATGATCCGCCCCCCCAGCTTAAGCTGCCCTTTGGACATAGGCATGGAAGGTCCCCCAGACAAAACCTGGAACCTTCTCACATGGGTCAGCCTCACAGAGTACATTGCACCACCATCCAGCCCCTCACTATGACCCTTTTAAGATTTTTTTTTAAGAATTATTTTTTGGATGGGGACCAGCAGTTGGCATAATGGTTATGTTGTTGGACTCCTATGTAGTCAACTGCAATTCGAGTCCCGGACCCTACAGCTTAAAACACACACCAGGCACATGTGTGTGCGTGCCCAAGACCCCAAGAGAAGAATGGAGGAGAAGGGATTGCAACATGGCCATCCCACCCGGGGGGTGATTTCTCTTTCTGTCTCTCTGTCTGTCTCTGTCTTTTTGGTGAGCACACGTGCCCTAGAGCAAAAACCTCTCCCCCAAAAAAAGAAAGAGACAAGAGAGTCAGGAGAAGAACCCAGGTCCATCTCATCTAAAAGCATTGTTCTCTGTACTTCTGGCTGTATACTATTGCTTTTTCACCTGGGACATAGCATGCTTGTAGGGGCCTTCAGGTAGCGTGGTGGTTAAGACACTGAACTCCCACTTGGCTGATCATGGGTCAAGTCCTGGACAGGGCAGTTTGAGAATAATGCCTAAATCATACAGGTGCATGTGTGTGCAGGGAAAATAGAGAAGGGATTGTGGTGTGGACATCCCTCTGGGGGATGATTTCTCACTTTCCCTCTGTCTCCCTCCAGCAAGCACATCCTGTGTGTGTGTGTGCAAAAAAAATAAAATAAAAACTACAAAAAGAAAAAAAAATTAAAAAGACATGTCATGTGACAATCACTCATCCTAAAATTTTATCTAAGTACCTGTAACGGGAGGACATGTTTTGATGGGGAGGAGATAGGTCCTCTTCTTAGTACCAGTAAAAGTGGGTCCACCTGGTCTTTGCTCTGGTCTCAGTTTACCTTGACTGAACAGGCACTAGTTTTTCTTTCTGCAAGTCTGTGTGCACCCTGCCCTCTAGCGGCGCTGGCTTTACACTGCAGCACTGACCTTCAGTGTAACTAACCTTAATTTCCAATTCTCTCTTCTCTCCCTAGAACAGAGATGTCATGGTAATAGTGGGTACGGTGCACTAAGATTTCTGGAGCATCAGCACCTCCCCAAATCTGAGCCCGAGAACAGCAGTTTTCAAAGCTTATGGTGTACTTGTGATTTCAGTAAATTGGAGTGAGACCTGGGAATATAAATTTTTCACAAGCACTTCAGGTAATTCTGATGCAGTGATCTTCAGGCCACAGCTTGAGAAATAATGCCCGGCAACCTCACTGTTTCCAAATTTCCAAATTCAGAAGGAATCGAATCCCAATTCAAGCACTCTTGGGCTTTGGAGAATCTGGGACCAAATTAGCCGCTCTCCTTTGCCAACCTCAATATTGAGTTTCCAGGAGATCATGTCTTGGATAGTCAGGGACTGAGGCTGCAGCTATTCCAGCAGCCTGCCCATGCTGAGTGAGGTCAACTCTTGCTGGTCTAGCAAAGGGAACGTGGAAGGATCTAACATTCAGTGCACCACCTGTGGGCCAGTGTGCCAGGCACTGTCTTAAGGTGTTTTCAAGCATATTTTGTTGTTAGTTTTTTGCCACAGGGCACATGCAGGGAGAAAGTGAAAGATCACCCTTCAGGAGGGATTACCATGCCATAATCTCTTCTTCATTCTCCTCCTGGGGTTTTGGTCACGCATGCACACGTGCCTGGTGTGATTTTCAAGCCACCAAATCAAGGACTCAGACCAGCCATATGACAGTGCACTGCTTAACCACCTTGTCACCTGCTGGCCTCTCAAGCATATTCTTTTTAATCCCCACAACAAACCATGAGTTTATTTTTCACTCTCTTTTGTCTATGAGGAAAGTACAATCAGCAAGGTCACAGCTAGTAAGAGTTGGATTTGGGGCCAGCAGGTGGTGTGGTGGTTAAGGTGCTAAGGTGGACTGCAATTCAAGTCTTGGACCTGGTAGCTAGAAAATCATGCCGGATCTGTGTATGTGTGTGCCCAAAATCCTGAAAGGAGAATGAAAGAGAAGAGAGTGTGGCCTGGGCATCTCCCAACCCCGGGGGTTGATTTCTCACTTTCCCTCTCACTGTCTCTCGCTGACAAGTGCATGCATAGTATGATAGAAACCTAAAAGGTAAAAAAAAAAAAAAAAAAAAAAAGGACTTGAATCCAAGTTTGCCTAACTCAATGGATTTCCACTAGGGGAGATTTTGGCACCCAAGGGACATTTGATAATGTCTGTAGACACTTTCAGTTTTCATAACTGGAAGGCAAGGGTGGGGGTTAATACTGACAGTAGGTTAGAGACTAGGTCTGGTGCTGAACATCCTACTATGTACAGGGGAGCCCTCCCCCCCCCAATAAGTTATTGGGCTCAAAATGTCACTAATGCTGAAGCTGAGCAATCCCGGACTCAGCAACGCCTGTGCTTTTGACCTGGGGTCGGGTGGGGTGGAGTGGTTAGCGAACAGAACAAAATGGAGACGGGCCACTGCAGGGGTCTTGAGTGGGAAGGGGTGGGATTTCTATGCTAAAGATAATGGAGAATGGGGGCAGTTGGTGAGACTTCTCTTTCTTTCCAGCTTGGCCAAGGCCCTCCCTGCTCAGTTTCTCCCAACCTTGCCAAGGCAGTCCTGGGACTTCACACTAAGTTTGTCCTGGGGTGACCCCAATTGAGGGGTGGAGCAGAATATTAACCCGGGTCTTCCGGCAGACTTCCCAGCCATACGCTCCCCACCCCCACCATACACCCCTACACACACACACACACACACACACACACACACGCACTTCTGGAGCAGTGAGTTCCACCTGCAGTCCCTGGGCAGCTCCACACTGACACCTTGCAGTGGGGAGTGGGAGTGTGGGCGGGGTACCCAGAAAGGAAACCCCAGAGCAGCCCAGGGGAAGGTAGGATCTGAGAACAGTTCGAACTGGAGTAGGGGAGCAGTCAGAGGATCCCCTCAGCCAGCATCTGCGGGTGAAAGAAGAAAGTGGAGCAGGGGCAGGGGAAGCTGGCATGGGAAGCAGAGCTCTGACCCCCAGGTTTGCTTTCTGTAGCATTCTTCTCCCCTTTGGCTTGGTTCTGTTTTGCCGTTCCCTCTCCAGTACCCATTCCCACTCCTGGATCATCCACGCACCCACCCTGCCACCATTCTGGCCTCCCCACTATTCCAGGGAGGGCGAGTCTGAGCTGACAGGAAATACCTCTCGTTCCAAGCTCAGAACCTCTGAAGAACTAA